TAAGGCCAGTAAATGAGCTTATACAGCTGAGCCAGAGGTGGCTTGTGGGCATGGTTCCCACATACCTAACTTTTGACTATATAATTTCTTGGTAAACTTGGTCCCAATTTGTTGCAGTCAGACAAAAGGCACAGCAATTTTGGGGTGTCAGGAAGCCTGAAGCTGCTGATGCACTTGCCCCACAGGTACAGGTTGACTTGTTGGCGGCATCATACCCCCCAATCCATTCTTTTGAAGAGGCAACAGGGAAACAAGAACTCTAATACATTGCTACTTTATCACTGTCACTATCACTGTCATCCCATTGTTCATTTACTCAAGTGGGCGCCAGCAACATCTCTATTTGTCCCAGCCCTGAGATTTAAGCAGCCTCTCCTCACTCATCTTTCCCAATGATTGGAGGCTCTTTCAGGGTCAGGGGAATGAGACCTGTTATAGTTACTGGTTTTGGCATATTGAATACATCACAGGGAGCTTGCAAAGTTCTACCCATGTGGGCAGGATACTCTTGGGTAGCTTGCTGGACTCTTCGAGATATATATATATATATATATATATATATATATATATATATAATTTGTTGCCTACTGTCTGAACTCCACCAAACATGATGTGGTAATTATGGAAAATGGGTAGGAAGTGCCTTATGATGTGTCTGGAAATCAGCCTGGAGTGTGACAGCAGTTGGGTAGTGGAGGTTGGCTGCCAGGGTTGGGTCCCGTGGGGCAGGGAAGGCTCTCGCCTGTCTCCCTCTGGGGCACCCCGAATGAAAATAGCCTGGTGCAGAGTCCGGTGGCATGGTTTTGGGGGTCTCATTTTATACTCCCGTCTGGGAGGAGCAGCCATGAGTTCTGGAGAGTGGTTGATGAGGAGATTATTACACCGATAAGCCACACCCTGCTGGCACCAGATAATCTCCTCATTGACACTGCTACTATGAACAAAAAATTGCACAATTTCTATGGAGGTGATTTTGACAATCTTAAAGAAAACAGTATGTTCTTTTACCAAAAGATATCTGGTGATGTCATCTGGAGACATCTATAACAAAGACTCCTTAGCAAAAACTGCAGGAATACTATTAATGTGCACCATAGAGGTTAAAGGAGCTTGCCTTGCATGCAGTCAATTCTGGTTCCATGCCTGGCACCATGTATAGTTCCCTGAACAGAGTAAATCCTAAGTACCTCTCAGTGTGGCCCAAAAAAAGCCAGACGGGAATGAGGAGCAGTGTGAGACTTGAATGAGGGGCTCAGAGAGATTGGAACAGGTGCATGGGGAGAATGGAATAAAGGGCAACTGATCACCAAAGGCTTGGCCCTTGTTTCCTCCTTTGTCTGCCCCATGGCCTGGGCCGCCAGGGAGGAGGATCTGCCCGAGTTCACTGAACGCAGGCAGTGAGGGAGAGCCACTGGGGCTTCCCTAAGTTGCCCCAGAGATTATACACCCCGTCCCATCTTTGATCAACTCTCACCTTTGAGCATGTCTTTTTAATATAGCTACACACAATGTTGGGGAGTTTAATATGATTTTGCCAAAAGAGGGTGTAACAGATGCTGAACAACCTCAAAGGTTGACATGAGGTTGAGGTCTGAGACTCATCAGAATCTAAGACCAACCTGAGCTAAGCTGATCCAAGATGGATCCAACATACTGAAGGATGATTTCCAGATTCATAGGCCCTTCATTGTAGTGCCGCTGCATAATAAAAATCACACTCACTTGTTTCAAGATCACTTATAACTGTCATGTTAACCCCAGGAAGTGGCCAATTATGGTCACAATCTGAGGAACTCCTTGACTCTGGAAGATCACCACCCCAAAACCTTCTCTCTTCTTTGGCTACCCTTTATTCATTTACCCCACTTCTATACTTATAGAGGTTAGAAACTAGTGTAGAGAATGAGCTACTCTTTGTGTAGTGTGCCCACACTGTGACTCTTTGAGTATTCATGCTTACTTCTATTAAACTTTTTTTTTTTAGATACAGTGCAACTCACTCTTTGAGTGTGTCAGTACTCTGACTCCCAAGTGAATACTATTCCTTAATAAACCTTCTATAATTTATTCCTGATTCATAACTAACTTCTTTCCTGCAACAGTTAAAAGAACCTGGTCTCCAGATCAGGACCTAAAGATTTTGGCCCTGACTGGGCACTTTCTGCAACAAAAGTGCTCCACAGAGTTTTAATTCCTGTTGTCAGGACAATTATAAACTGTCATAGATGCCTCTTTGGTATTTACCATTTCTTACACAGTTAACCCATATCCATTTCTATTTCTGTCCATCTCTGGGCTAGCTGGTGTGGGCTTTGGAAAGTTTTTGATCAAGTACATAGTAACTTAGTATAGAGGAGTTTGTTTAAATAAACCAGAATCAAAGAGGTGGGAGGGAAGGTAATCCTGGGGGCATATGGAAAGGAAGGATTGCAAACTGTCCACTCAAAAAAATATGAGTACCTGTTTAGCAGAGGAATTGACAAGGTCTCCTACTTTCTTTGTCTTTTCTCCTTCCTTCTTTCCTTCCTTCCTTCCTTCCTTCCTTCCTTCCTTCCTTCCTTCCTTCCTTCCTTCCTTTGTTTCTTGTTTTTGAGTCACACCCAGGAGTGATTGGAAGTTACTCCTTGCTCTGCGCTCAGGTATCCCTCCTGGTGGGGTTTGGGAAACATATGGGATGCTGGGGATCCAGTCCGTGTTGGCAGCATGCAAGGCAAATGACCTACCCACTGCCTCCAGGCTCCACCCCCTTCCCTGCCCCAGGAGTCCTAATTTTTACATGCACTCTCCAGTTCTCCTATCTCCTAACTAAAGTGAAGAATTATGTTCAGTTCATAAAAAACACAGAAAGTTTTATTGTCCCTAATAGGATATGGCATGAACTTAAAACTTCATTCAAGTTTTATGTAATATTTTACTGTTATTTTGTAGTTTATAAGTGCATATGATAGGCAAATAAGTTCTTGTATAGATAATATTAAGAACCAATATTTTCAGGCCAAGAATGTGGCTCAGTGGAAGAGCACCAGACTTGCAAGTGTGAGAACTTGGGTTTGACACCAAACACTGAAAGAAAAAAGTTACTATAACAGGCTGAAGCTAAGCTCAATGGGCTGAGTGCATGCTTTGCATGTATGAGGCCTGAATTAGATCTATGCACGGTACAGAGAGTACTGCAGGCTGGAATAGTCTCCTGAGCACTGCTCTGGATGCGGCCAAAAAAAATAAAGAACCAATATATTTACCAATTTGTTTTAAAAAAATGGGAGTGGGTGTGGGGGGATAAAGAAACAGAGAAAAAGTCATTTTATATTCTAGTGTACTTGTGTCTTAAAAACAGAAATGAGACATCTGAAATTACAACAATATGAAGTTTGGAGAAACCTAAGTTTAGTTTTCTAAACTTAGTATAGAAACTTAGATTTCTTAGAGAAACAGAATAAAAACTTAGGTTTTTCTACTAAGTCTAAGTAATTTTATAAGTTTTATCTAAAACAAGGAGGGAAATGGGCTCAGTTTAGTCTTTGTGTAGCATTTTCATTAGATGATTTTTTTCCCTGCAGAGCCTTTGTCTACTCTTGATTGTTACATACTACCATCCCTTCCTTACTTTTAACATGTCAACTTAATTCTCAGTTATTTAGTCTTGTTGATAATCAGTAGTTCCTTCCACCCTTCACAACACAGAAGTATTTTTTATTATATTTATATGACACTGACTGGAAACATTTCTCTAAATTTAAACTCCCAAAGATTTCAAAAAACGAACCACAGCAACGTTCCCTATATTAAGTGCATTCATTTGGCAAACATTAACTTAGCCCCTGGGTGCTATTGGGCAATGAGGATACATCAGATAAGGCACAGAGAATTTTGAGTTCGAAAGGAATGACATCCTAGAAGGCAGAGAACACCCTGAAGGAACCACCGATATCTGATCGCTGACCGCTGCCCAGGAAAGGAGCTGAGCACGTGGAATCTTGCTCGCAAACAAGATTAACAAGGTCTCCTAACTCCAAATCCCATCCAAAGGAAGTTTAGGCAGTTACCGTCTCTCTTGGGCTTCTTACTCCTCCCCCTCTCTATTCTCTCATGTCACATTTAATTACCACTCGATAATATTTAGGCATCACCACTACTAATCTGAACCAGTTCGAAATTCCGAAGTTATTCCAAACGCTCTTTGTGAGAATTACCTAAATTTGCGTTTGCGAATTATGGTTTAGATGGTCTCATCTCGGGTTCCGTAGATCTCCGTAAAAGGCCCCTTCTGCCACGACCAAATTGGGAGGGGGACGAGGAGGAAAGAGAATAAGGTGTCTATGGCATTTCCCCTCATACACTCTCTCGGGTGTATTAAAGTACGTTATACATACGATTTTGCTCCCCCAAATAGAAAGCCGTGAAGAAGTAAGTAGGACTCACCTTTCTTCACACTTCTTATTTTTACCTATCACAGCTTTTGTGGCCGCAGGGTGGGCCTCAGCGAGCCCGTGGCATACAGGCACTTCTCGGGCCACCCCTCCGGGGTCCTGATTTTGAAAAGGGAGCGAGCCAATCGGAGAGCAGAGCGCTGTTTGGCGCTGCCGTTTGAGCCTCGCCTCGTCTCGTCTCGACCGGAAGGTGGGGCGGCCGCTGCGGCTTGGGGCATCTGCCGAGTCGTTGTGGTGAGGGGGGGCGGAGGCATGAGGACAACGGCCTGGCTTCAGTAACCGCCCAGAGATGTACCGAGCCGGGAGCGCAGGCAGGCCGATGGAGGTGGGAAGGAGCGGCCTGTGAAACGGCTTGACGCTGGCGACCAGCCCGGGCGGGAACCGGGGCTGGCAGAGACGCCAGTGCAGCCCGGCTGGTCCGGCGGCTGCGCTGAGGGCGGGGCGCGGGGACAGGAACATCCAGGGGGAGCCTGCCGCGGGGTCCAAGGGGCGAGGAGAAGCGTCTTCCTAACAGTATCGAGAAAGACTGGGCTGAGAAGGTGTGGGGTCCTAAGGAGCAAGTCGGGGGGTGGCCGGAAGTAGCGAGAAGCAGGTAACAGGCGCGGTGCGAGAAACCCGAAAGGGGTCTGAGTGAGAGAGAGAGAGAGCGAGAAGGGAGGTGAGTGGAAGTGGCTGGAAGGGTCGGGTGACCAGAGAGAAGGTTGGGGCGTAAGTGGAAGGACGGTGAGGGGTGGCTGGGTCAGAGGGACAGAGAAGGTCGGTGGAAGTGGATCGAGGATCCGGGGGCGGGGAAAGCCGTGGAAGTGGCTGGGATTGGGACCCGAAGGAGCGTGACACGCGGCCGCGAGGCAGCGGAGCCGAGCAGCAGCCTGAGAGTGTTTGGAAGCTGGAAGACTTGGTGGCGGCGGAGGCTCGGGAGCCAGCCCCTGCCCCGGAGCGTCGGGGAGTCCGCGATGTGGGACCGGAGGCTGCTGAGGTTGGCCTTGGTGCAGCAGCTGCGGGCGGTCTACGGCATTAAGGTCAAGAGTGGCCGGGGACAGTGCGATCGCAGGAAACACGAACCGGCAGCCACGGAGCTAGCGGTACGTTGTGGGGGCAGAACGAGGCCGAAATAGAGGGAGCGCTGGACCTTCTTGCCCCACCTGGTGCTGCGGATATGTTTATTTAGAATGTGGTTAAGCGTGACTGATTCAAGTGCTGACCGTTCAAGAATGGTTGACTTCAGGCACTTTGGGTCGTTGGAAGAAGGTGGCAGGGTTTTTCCTTCTTTGCACGTTTGCTGGCTTAACTTGGTTGTTCTTTAGTGGAGGGAAGTAACTGCTCTGATCTTTGTAGGATTTTTTTTTTTTAAGCAGCATCTTTGGCTTCTGCCCACCCAATGCCAGTGTTCTCTAACCTGTGATCCTTAGAAATGTCTCCCGATATGGCCAGTGAATTAAATTTGAACAAGGAGCACGTGGGTAAGAAGACAGAAAATGCGCCCCCCCATCCCCCGCCCCAATCACCACCAAGATTTTGGGGGTGGGGAGGAGTGGGACAAAGGAACGTTTTAAATGAATCAGAAGATGAGGACGTGGAATCGAATTTTAGGAATAATTGAAAGCGTCCGTAGTTCTGGTTGTAAAATTGACTTTCCAAGTTCTCGAGTATGGTTTTTTCTTGAAATGTATGAATTTGTACAGTGATTTTTTTTTTCTAACCCTTTAGAAACTGGCTACTGCTTTTAGAGTCTTACCTGAATTTGAATCTTACTTCATCCCCGTTGCCTTGTTTAATTTGAGATTGCTTGTTTAGTTTTCCTAAGCTCCTTAAGTACTCTACTCTTTAAGGTGGGAATAATATCTACTATCTCTGCTTGGGTTGTCTAGGGGATTTGAAAGGACAATAAGGTCCTTAGATAGGACTAGCACAGTACCTGTCAAATGCCACTTACTCAATTAATGATTGTTGTGATAATGGTCTGCTTCTTAGTTGATAGTGAAGTCGGAAAGCCGAGTGGAAATATCCCAAAGGTTGCAGAAATAGTGCAGGGGTTGAGGTGCTTGACTTGGCAATCGAAGCGCAGGTCTGGCACATGTGAAGCTCTGGGTTTGGGCCCCTCCACTGCATGCCCTCCACCCCCAAGCACTGCCTGGAGGATTCTGGTATACCCCAGTATCTCCAGGTCCCAGCACAGAACTGTTAAACAACACTGCCAGTTGGAGCTCTAACAACTGGCCTGATTAAGTATAAACATTGCTTGTTTGTTATGGAGATTGGAGAGTGTTGGGATTTACTATATTGCTTGGGGATGTTGACTTTTATCTTGACCACCCAGCATGTTTATTGTATAGAACAGTTGACCTGCAGACAACACATAATTGAGGGCCTAAAAAGTGATTTAGAGGTTTTGAAAGATTCTCCAAAAAATCCACTTGTAACTTGAGACTCTCAAATTTTTAACCATTAATAGTCAACTGTTAACTACTGTTAACTATAGCCTTACTGATAGTAGTCAATCAACACCAGTATTATATGTTTACCTGTTTTATACTGTATATTTATAATGAAGTAAGCTGGAGAAGAGCATTACTTAGAAAATCATAAGAGTAACAGGGCCTTACAAAACAGGAAAGGGATGTACAGCCCTGCCGTATGGTCCCCTGAGCTGGCTAGGAGTGATCCCTGAGCAAGAGTGCAGCATGGCTGGCTGGAGCTCCAAAATAAGAAAAGGAAAAGTAGATCATAAAAATTTAGTTCTTGTATCAGTAGTATACTTTAAACATTTTTACTTTGTCCTTTTGCAAGGAAATCCACATAAGTTCCTTGTCTGCGTTATTCAAAGGCCAGCTTTAGTTAACTGTTGCCAGATGCTTTTGAAATTATTCTTTATATCTTAACTGATACTTTATTTCTATCTTTTATTTTCTGAGGTTTTTTTACTTGCCATATTTAAGAAAGCCTATTAATATTTAATATATAACTGAGTTTGTCATTGTAGGGCAAAATATTTGGAGTACCTTTGAATGCATTGCCCCATTCTGTTGTACCAGAATATGGACAAATTCCAAGGTAAGCAAAATTTGAAATGAAAAATAAATAATTCAAGCTGGTGTTTAAGAGGTGTGGCTTTTTTTGGGGGGGGGTGTCACACCCAGCAGGGCAGTGCTCAGAGGTTACTCCTGGCTCTGCACTCAGGTATTACTCCTGGTGGTGCTTGAGGGACCGTATGGGATGCTGGGAATCGAACCCGGGTCGGTGCATGCAAGGCAAACACCCTACCCTCTGTGCTATAGCTCCAGCCCCAGAGTCTTATTTTTTTAAGATGATTTTTTGAACTATCAAATGATTTCATTGCTTAATGTAATTTTTTTTTAACTTTATGTTTTTAACATTCTAAATTGCACTCATTCCCAGCATTCAGCTTTAAGGTTCAGGTGCCGAATATTAGAAAGCCAATTGTTTTATATTCTTTTGAGTATATTGAATTTTAATGTCTTAGCAGTTTTTTTGTCACAATTAAGATCATAGTTAATAATATGCTAAATAGTGACATGTCAGTTTTAATATTTTTATTACTAGGGAAGTTCGCATCTTAAAATAAAAGTTTTAAAACTTTTAAAGTTTCTGTTGTTTTTTGTTTGGGTTTTTGTTTTGTTTTGACTTTGGGCCACACCCAGAGGTGCTCAGGGCTTACTCCTGGAGGTGCTCAGGGGAACACCTAGGGTGCCAGGGATGGAACCCAGGTTGGCCACATGCAAGGCAGGTGCCCTCCCTGCTGTACCATCATCACTCTAGACCAAAAATGCATATAGTTTTAGCTCTTCCTAATGAATTTTCACTCTATCTAAAATAAGATTCATTCTTGTTACTATATTTTGAAAACCTTCACTTCAAGGTGATGACTTGCCCAATTGTTTATTGAGCACTTGACTGCCCTTGAACATTTTTTTGTTCATTCAGCCTGTAGGTTTACATTCAGGCTTTACCAAGTAGCCATTTATTATTTTCCTTCTGAAATGTCTGATGGTTTCTTGCATTTAGACATGCACTCACATTCTCAGTGAGAATGATCTTTGATATGCTTTCTTTGCCTTTTTTCCTTTCTTGTTTCCTTTCTTGTTTGCAAAGCTCTTCTGGGGCTAGGGAGGTAGCTCAAAGGGCTTCATCACATGCTTTTATTGTAGGAACCTGGAATTCTACCCTGGCCCTGCATGATCACCAGACACTGAGCTTGGAGTTTCACCTGGAATACCACTGTAGCAATGTAGCACTGTCCTCCTGTTGTTCATCAGTTTGCTCAAGCAGGCCCAGTAACATCTCCATTGTGAGACTTCTTGTTACTGTGTTTGGCATATCAAACACGTCATGGGTAGCTTGCCAGGCTTTGCTGTGTGGGCGAGATACTCTCGGTAGCTTGCCGGGCTCTCCGAGAGTAGCGGAGGAATTGAAGGCCAGCCATGTGCACAGCAAATGCCCTACCACTGTGCTATCACTCTACTCACCCCATCCCGCCACCTCCCATAAAAGTCTTCCATCAGTTCCCTTCTATGACCAGCTACTGTGTTCTAGCACAACTCTATTGCTCTTAGCTAACTTCCATTCTGATTTGTTGATACCATCTGCACCAACAGATTAAAGTCAACCGTAGTTGCTTAATTATTCAGTATAAAATGTGAGGACGTGTTGCTAAATTTGAGAAGGATTGTAAGAACTGGGATATATCCAGCTTTCTAAGGTGTAATGTTTGAGTAAGGGAGAAAAAAAAAACCTGACTTGTAGTTTGGCCAGTATAGCTGATGGTAGATAGTTTAAGCTATGTGAGCTGCATAAACTCCCTCATGGAGAGAAAGAAGGCTTTGGAGGCTGTGACTTCACATCGCTCAGACTGAGTCTTTTCCTGACTCTGCCTCCAGCCAACTAAGCAACCCCAGTACATTTGCTCAGTCTCTCATCTTTGCCTCATCTCTAGGATGAGTCCATTGAGATGGAGGCCTTTCTTCTATCCTGCTGCAAACACACTAGTGCATTGTTAAACAATTTCTGCACAATTTTATTTTCAGAAGCATCCATTTTTTAAGGTCTCCCATGTTCTGGGTAGGACAGAATAGGCACCTGGTGTTTGTTAAATGACTGAGTAGAGGAATCCTTAGAGTCCCGGGTCATTCTAGCGTGTGGAGGTCAGAATAAAAAGGAACTAGAGAGTTTGTTTGATAGAGAGTAGTCAGGGAGGTAGCAGGAAAACCAGAAGAGTAGTGGGAAAGGGTGAGTTGATGCACCTTGAAGAAGTTAGGAAGCAAAGACAACTGAAAACCTTTTATCACAAAGATTAGAGGGATTTATAAAATCAGTCTTGTTTGTTTTTGTTTTTTGGGGCCACCTAGTGGTGCTGGGGATTATTGAACCCAGGCCTCCTGTATTCAAAACATGTGTTCAGCCCCTTCAGTGCCAACCTCAGAACTTCTTAAAGTGATGTAGTGCTTTATCTGCTTCTGTACTTTGGAGAATAAAGAATGTGGTAAGAAGTCTATCTGGCCTAAAGAGATTTCTCTTTCAGCTTTCTTGTTGATGCTTGCACATCTTTAGAAGAGCATCTTCATACAGAAGGACTTTTTAGAAAATCGGGATCTGTTATTCGTCTTAAAGCACTAAAGGTATGCATATTCCTGAAATGTGATTTTTCATGTGTAACACTTTTTGACATGTTATGACTAAAATATTTAGAAGGTTTGCATAAGTTATTTTGAGAAATTTAACTTAGAAATAGCTTTATGGCAGAATAATCTTTTTTCAAAGAAATTGTATAGTAAAAGTAAAAAGTAAAGGCCCTCCCGTTGATCGTCGATTTGCTCGAGCGGGCCCAGTAACGTCTCCATTGGAGACTTTGTTGTTACTGTGTCTGGCATATCCAATACTCTCGGTAGCTTGCCGGGCTCTCCGAGAGGGGCAGAGGAATCGAACTCGGGTCGGCCATGTTGGCCGCTTGTAAGGCGAACGCCCTACCCGCTGTGCTATCGCTCCAGCCCAAAGAATTTGTATACATTTATATATTACTTTGGGGAGGTTGGGGATACTTGGAATCTCCTACTGACTACATTTCCAGCAGTCCTGGAATTGAACCCAGGCTTCCAGTTTGCAAAGCCTGTGCTGAGCCTATTGAACTGTCTCTGTGACTCCCCTGCTCAATTTTATTGAGATGGGATTGGCAAGCATGTTTACTATTTTGTGGGGAGTGATGCATCCCTACCAGTGCCCAGGATTGCTTGTGGACCTTATTTGGGGGAAATCATATGGTGTCCAGGGGATTGAACTTGGACCTCCTTCTGCATGCAAAGCACATGATCCAGCCCAAGAAATAAAATGTACAGCTTTGTGTTTTGATATGCATTGTGAAGTGATCACCATAATCAAGCAACGTGTTGTATTAAGCTGGCAGAGTATTTTCACATTCATGGTCTTTGTTCTATATGAAAAGAATTTTTATGTAAATTGTTTTTAGCCTTTTAGAAAGGAGTAATAGAAATAAGGAGTAATATGTATTAAAACAAGATTTAGGGAGAATCTATTAAAGGAAAACTCCTTAGTGTATAAGAAAGAATGTTTTATTGGCAGTAAATTTTAAGCCCAGAAAATGAAGGTTTATAACGTTTCTTTCAGAATAAATTGGACCATGGTGAAAGTTGTCTTTCTTCTGCACCTCCTTGTGACATTGCAGGACTTCTTAAACAGTTTTTCAGGGAATTGCCAGAGCCCATTCTCCCAGCTGATTTGCATGAAGCATTTTTTAAAGCTCAACAGTTAGGACTAGAAGAGAAGAATAAAGCTACATTATTGATCTCCTGTCTTATGACTGACCACACAATTGAAATATTAAGATATTTCTTTAACTTCCTCAGAAATGTTTCTCTTCGGTAAGTGGAAATTAAGTCTTTGGAAATGATAGTTTAATTTTCTCAAATAGCTAGATGTCCCATGTAGACAAGAAAACTTCATTTGAAATGAAAATTTAATGTGAAAACTATTAACAGTCTTTTATTAGGTGCTTTGTACCCTGTGTAACTTAAGAAGCTACTGATGGAATAGCACAGAGACTGTCACTGCCCAACATAGTTGGCATCTTTTCCAGAATAAATACTGGAACATGCCCTAAAAAAATGTTCACAGTTAAAACCTTTACTCCCCACAATTGTTTAAATAACATATAACAACTTTTTAACAGTTGTCCAACTAAGTGATTTAACATTCTCTTGCTGTCTTTATCATCCATTAATTAATGGTTTATTGGTGTTAATAAGATTCTTTCACTGGCTACTGTTTTAAAAATGCTTATTTTGCTTTCTTTTTTTTTTGCCTTTTGGGTCACACCTGGCGATGCACAGAGGTTACTCCTGGCTCTGCACTCAGGAATTACTCCTGGCGGTGCTCAGGGGACCATATGGGATGCTGGGAATTGAACTCGGGTCGCTGCGTGCAAGGCAAATGTCCTAACCGCTGTGCTATCGCTCCAGCCCCCCAAAATGCTTATTTTGTATTTCAAACTATTCCCCATCTCCTGCATTAGTGAATCTACTTGTGCAGATATACTTCCTACCTTCTTATACTTGGATATATTTGCATTTGAAAATTACTTAAAAGCATTTAGTATGTGTCGGGGGTATGGTGCCACCAGAAGGTCAATCTGTACCTGTGAGACGAGTGCATCAGCAGCCTCATGGCGCCTCCAGACTTCCAGATACCCCAAAATTGCTGCTGTGCCTTTGGCCAGACCCCAAAAACTTGGCAAAGTTTACCAAGAAAGTAAACGGCCAAAAATTAGGTATGTGCGAAACACACCCACAAACCACCTCCGGCTCAGCTATATAATTGGAGGCAAGGCCTCTTTGGTTCCTGTTTGAACTGCTTAATGGACATGATCCCAGAGACTCAGGAACGAATCTCAGAACCCAGTGGCTTTAGGTAGAAATGCGTCTGGTCTCTGCAGTAGGCTACCGGTGCTGGGCCAACCCAAGTGGGAATAGGTTTCGTGCCTTGGCCTGTTCTCCCAGGCGGCCCAGTGGCCGCCATCCATCTCAGGCCACTGGATAGTCACATTTGGGCCCCCAGTGACGAGACACACAGGGCCTCACGGGATGGGGGTGGAGCTGGGCTTGTCCTCCCCACCCCAACGAGACCCCAAGTCATCGCCCACGAATGGCCTCTCTGGCTCCTGATCCAGCTGTTTAACGGCCATGATCCCAGAGACTCAGAAACAAATCTCAAAACCCAGTGGCTTTTGGCAGAAATGTGTCCGGACCCCACAGTACGTTACTGTCGCCGGGCCACCCCAGGGAGGAAAGGGTGTTGTCCCTCCACCTGCTCCCTCTTGGCGGCTCCGTGGCCGTCATCCTCCAGAGGTCTTTGGACAGTCAGGCTTGGGCCCGCAGTGATGAAACTTGTTGGACCTCACGGGATGTAGGGGAGCCGAGCCTGTCCTCCCCTCCCCAATGAGACCCCAAGTCATCGCCCACGAATGGCCTCTCTGGCTCCTGATCAAGCTGCTTAACGGCCTTGATCCCAGAGACTCAGAAACAAATCTTGAAACCCAGCGGCTTTTGGCAGAAATGTGTCGGGACCCTGCAGTAGGTTAATGTTGCCAGGCAACCCCAGGGGGGAAAGGGTGCTGTCTCTCCGCCTGTTTCCCCCTGGCGGCTCGGTGGCCGCCATCCTCCAGAGGCCATTGGACAGTCAAACTTGATCCCACAGTGACGAAACTTGTTGGGCTTCACGGGATGGGGTGGAGCTGGGCCTGTCCTCCCCACCCCAACGAGACCACAAGTCATCGCCCACGAACGGCCCCTCTGGTACCTGATCGAGCAGCTCAATAGCCATGATCCCAGAGACTCAGGAGCAAATCTCAAAACCCAGTGGCTTTTGGCAGAAATCCCTCCAGATTTAAGTGTTAAAATTTCGGAATTTCAAAATCACATGGCCCTACTGCAGCCACACAACATCATATGTTATTCATAACCAGCAATAGAACACAAATTATCTATTGCTGCCTTTTCAGCATATCTGAGTGTTGGGGTAAAATCTCAAATAATAATGGTGGGTCTGGTGTCGAAATATTGAATGTGATCAAAGTAGAGAGAGAGTAATGTGGCAATCATATGCCCCACAGGCCGGGGGAGGGTGTGGGAGGGGTATACTGGGGTTTTTGGTGGTGGAGAATGGGCACTGGTGAAGGTACGGGTGTTTCATTGTATGACCGAGACTTAGACCCAAAAGCTTTGTAACTGCTCTCACGGTGATTCGATAAATAAAATTATAAAAAATGGGGGAAAAAAAGTAAGGTGGAGTTCATGCACAATTCAATCAGCTAATCAGTGGCTAAATAAATAGCAGTACTCCTACCCCAAAAAAAGCATTTAGTATGTGGAAAGCAGAATTTGAACCTTGATTACTGTGGATTTTATGTCTACTCAAGCACACAAAAGCTGTATGTTTCTTGTTCTGTCTTATGTTCAAAGCAGTAGTACAGTTGAGAGATGAAAGGCAATTATATTTTCACTTGAGTATAACTGATAAAAAGACCTTCATAATTTGCTCATTATCTTATTTTAACTATTATAATCTTTAAATCCATCTAATAAAATGTTTTCATTTAAGGTCTAGTGAGAATAAAATGGGTAGCAGCAATCTTGCAGTGATATTTGCACCGAACATTCTTCAGACAAGTGAAGTACATGAAAAGATGTCTACTCACACTGAAAAAAAGCTCCGACTGCAGGCTGCAGTGGTCCAGACTCTTATTGATTATGCTTCCGAAATTGGTACGATGTAGTTGCATTATTAATAGGATTTATTTAAACGGGGAAGAGTGAATTCTGCAGGCAACTGTTAGAAAGTTGTTATATGTTATCTAAACATTTGAGGGGGAGTAAAGGTTTTAACTGTGAACATTTTTTTAGGGCATGTTCCAGTCTTTATTTTGGAAAAGATCCCAACTATGTTGGGTATTGATGGTCTCTGTGCTACTCCGTCAGTAGAAGGCTTTGAAGAAGGTGAATATGAAACTCCTGGTGACTGTAAGAGAAAGCGAAGACAAAGTGTAGGAGGTAAGTGACAATTAGCTTTATAGATACTGCATTTTTTTTTAAATCTAACATGAAAAGTTATATGCTCTGGTGTATGCATGTGAGAAGTAAAAATGGTAATAGAGTTTAAACTTAAAACTTCATCATTAGCACAAACAAAATACCATCAAAGAAAAAATGTTCCCAGAGTTATGATCCTGGAAAGAGGGATTCCGGCTGAACCTTATTGAAGAACAGGCAAACCTAGGGAACTTGTATGGCCATTCAGAACTCTTGTGTCCTATTTAGATGAGAAGGATGCTATAAAAAAAGGGTCTGTATGGAAGAATAGTCTTGTCTTTCAACATTACTTGAGTTTGCCCTTCAGCATAAGGATTAGAATAATGAAAGATGTTTTCTAGGAAGAATTTAAAAAGACCTAATTTTCCATCATTGCGGATTGAGACTTCTAATATCCTTGATCAAAGATACTTGATGCTTATTTGTAGGATATTAAAAATAATAATAATAATAATAATAATAATAATAATAATGAGTCTAATGTCCAGGGACAGTAGAAACAAGGGTCAGAAGTATTGGTCCACTGATTAGACTGCCTCAAGTGCGGGGAGGGAGTGGGTGCCCATTGTGGGTGGGGGGTAAGGAGCACCTGCTAAAGAGGCAGGCTAGGGGGAGGGTGGTGGGAGGGAAAATGGAGTCACTGAAGGTGGGAAATGTACGCAGGTGGATTGGTGGTTGGAACACTGTATGACTGAAATCCAAACAAACAGCTTTGTAACTCTATCTCACCATGATTCAATTAAAACAAACAAACAAAACCTTTAGGCCATTCTTCCTCTACTTACCTTAAAAAGTTTCTTATTTGTTTGTCTGTTTGTTTATTAGCTTTTTAGTCAAATTGCTGAAATAGACCCTTACAAAGCTGTTTGTTGATGATTGGATTTCAGTCATGCAGTTTCCAACACCCATCCCTCCACCAATGTACATTTCCCAGCACCAGTGTTCCCAGGTTCCCTCCCATCACCCCCCATCCCCTGCCTGCCTCTATGGCAGGCCCTTAGTTTCTTATCTTTTGAGTAATATAACCAGTTGTGATTAGTTATTATTCTTTTTTTCATCTTCTGGCTTGTATTACCTTGTGTTTCTTCTTTGCGCGCCCCCCGCCCCTTCATGCTTTCCTCTTCTGTGCCTTTTGTCCATTAAATACGCTTGCTTTACATTTTTTCTGAGTGTTCTGGGAATCTAAGTGAGGAATGGTATAAACATAGGTCCCTTGGGTTGGAGAAGTAGTTCAACAGAGTAGAGTACGTGTATTGCATGCAGGAGCTCCAGCTTTGGTCCCTGGCACTGCATCATCCACCCAGCACTGCTGGAAGCAGCGCCCACGTACGAAGCTGAGAATAGCCCATGCCTGACTACTACCATTGTGGCCCCTGAATCACAGGCGTATGCTTTTATTTCTATTTCGAAATAATTTCTTTTAAGTAACATTTACTGACTTTAAACCAATAAGCTGACAGAAACATTTGAGAAGATCTCAAATAATATGAATTATTGGTTAAATGAGCATTAAGTGATAATTGATTATCTATGCTTTAATTTCAGATTTTGTTAGTGGAGCATTAAATAAACTTAAATCTAACAGAACACCCTCTATTACACCACAGCATGAAAGAATTGGTAGGTATTATGTTTTTATTTAAATGGAAATTACCACATATTTTGTAAATAGTTATACTTATTATAATTAATGTGATAAAGTGTGATAAATATTTAATGGATCTAATTTAGCTATGTTGTGGCATTGCTAATTACATTGGGTAAAATGAACTGAGGTTGTAGGTAAGAAGGTTTACTGTTAATAGTTATGATAAAAGAGAAACTAAGAGGTTCAATTTTTTAACTTTCTCATTATAATTCTTTATGTTAGTGTTTTTAAAGGTGAACTTTTTTGAGGTGGGGGGCATGTCCAGGTATGTCAAGGGCTTTTCCTTGTGATCCAAGTGTTTGATTTATGTTTAAGAATCTTGGCTTTTTGCAACATTGCCATTTTCACTTTGAATAATAACATCCTGGGGAGGGGACTGGGGTTTTTATTTAGTTATGTGAAGCAAGGTAGTTTTTATTGACATTTATTTAGAAAGATGTTAGGGGAAAGAAAGAAGTGCATGTTCAAGAAAGAACATAGACTTCTCCACAGTGGAAATATGCAAGAAAGGTAGAACATAGGCTTGAGGAGCAAGCCCATACTATTAATTTTTTTCTAATATCTATTTTTATGTTATTTTTCGAGTAAGCATTGCCTCATTATTTGCTCAATTTTAAGTCATAGCTTCATAAGAAATATATATATAGCTTTGTATTTTATGAAATCTGTGGAAGAATTAGAAATTTTTTGTGTTTGTCTTTTCAGCCCAGCAGTCTGTATCCCCAGTGATCCTTACACCAAATAGTAAACGTAAACTACCAGTAGATTCCTCTCATGGTGTTTCAAGTAAGAAAAGGAAGTCCATCAAGCACAATTTTAACTTTGATTTACTGCCAAGTAATCTCTTCAGTAGCAGTTCTACGCCAGTATCAGGTAGAATTGAATTTAAATGATTCAGTTCTAAGCATTAACTTTGAGCAAAGTGCTGTTTCATCTTAAAGTCCCCAAACTTTTAAAATAAACATCCAGTATAATGATTAATGACATGTGACTATGCCTTTTAGCCATCCCTATTGAAAGTTATGGTATATAACTAGAGTGAGAATTTGGGCTTGAGTGAGTAATATTGGCTCAGTTGTTTCAATATATAGATGTACCACACGCCTGTGCACCAAGGCCCTGACCGCTACCCCTTATCCGCTTCTGCTCCCTCAGTTTGTTTCCTTCTCTGCCCTTCTCATTCCTACACTCCAGGGTCAACTGTAACCTAGGTATCTCCCCTTTGATATCTTACATTTCTTTTTCCTATTAATTCTCTATACCACTATGAATAACTTTGTAAATCACGATGCCTTAATAAAAAACTTTTTTAAATATTTTTACTTTTAAGAAAAATCCATTAAAGTTTTAGCAACTTTGTTTACACTATTTTTCAAGTATCTTATTTGGGTCCCTTACAGTAAGTTCAGCCATTTTCTTCCAGTTGAAATATAAGTTTGTAATGTGTCTAATCAAAATCTCTGGAGAATAAAATATTCATTTTTTTTTTTTTAAGAACCAGATATGTTGGTTATGTGTTCTTAAAACTGAGTTGGCCTTTTTTGCCTGGGTAGAATACAAATTGGCTCATATTAAACTTATGTTCAACTCAAAATTATGTTAAATACCAATTAAGCCCATAACTCCTCGTTGTTTACTTGTTTCTCATTTAATCAAAGTGTGAGGGATAATTTATAGATTTCTTTTTATTGGTTTAGACAACACAAAGACTTGCATTTTAATTAATTAGCTGTTTTATAAGTTTTTCACAATCCTACTGTTCATTGAAAAAAGTTGAATGAAATGACATGTTTTGTATGGTTGTTTAGAGGTTCTAGTTATACTTGCTTTCTGGTATGTGTGATCATTTTACATTACTACACATATTCTAGGTGTATCTTCTTTTGATGTGGTGTGTGTGTGTGTGTGTGTGTGTGTGTGGAGGGGGGGCCCACACGTGGCAGTGCTTTTATTTCTGGTTCTGTGCTCAGGAATTCCTCTTGGCCGAGCTTGTGTTGGGGGCACAATTCCAATTTAAATAGAAGTCTCTAGTTAATAATTTTACTTTTTTTCTAATTTTTTTGTTAGTAAGTTTTGTGGTATTACATCAAATAATTTCATAAAATGGACAGCTGGGACTACCATTCATTAGCACAGGTCATGCCAAGTGACTTCCTGATAGTTCATTTTTCATAAGAACATTGGTATTATATATAAAATACTTTACTGAATTTTTATGTTAGTGTTATATATTTACAGAATTCAGCGTCAGAGTCTAAAGCCATTTATAAGTGATGGAACCTAAAAAGTAAAAATTAATAACCTTTTTTAAGATAAATCTAATTGTGATCAATATCTTATACTTTGAAAAGAAAATAAGTAATGTGATATATTGCATACTTTGGGGTTTTCTTTAGTTCACTTTGACACAAGCTCAGAAGGATCATCACAGTGTTCAGTCTCTCCAGTAGTCATCAGTGGAAGCCATTTGATCGGTACGGATGTTCCAAGGCGAAGTAAAAGAATTGCAAACAAAAAAGTTTGCAGGTACATTATCCAGGATATTTTGTTTTCTTGGATCAGTGTTTAGTATATATATTTAGTAAAATAATTGGGTTTAATTGAGAATATCTGAATCATAATTTTTTTTAAATTTTCTTGTTTTTATACCTTATTAATCCAATACCCTTGGTGTATCCCTTACGAAAAGATTCCTAATTGGGTCCACTTTTTTTGCTTAAAGTTCTGTTTTATGGGTTGCAGATAGAACTCAATAAACTGATACAAAAGCTTTATTTTATGTACAGGAGGTCAAGTTTGATCCCTGGAACCACATGATTTCCTGAGCACTGAGCCAGGAATGACCCTTAAGTACTGACCCTTAAGTATTATTTGATGTGGTCCAAATAATAAACAGTGCCCTAATTTATTTTGAGAATATATAATTTTTATCTTTCCTATTGGGCCGGAACAATAACACAGCAGGCAGGACTTTGCCTTGCACGTGGCCAACCTGGATTCGATTCCTCTGCCCCTCTTGGAGAGCCCTGCAAGCTACCAAGAGTATTCCACCTGCACGGCAAAACCTGGCAAGCTCCCCATGACGTATTCAATATGCCAAAAACAGTAACAACAAGTCTCTCAATGGAGAAGTTTCTGGTGCCTGCTCGAGCATATCGATGAACAACAGGAGGACAGTGCTACCTTTTCTGTTAATTATAAAAACTAGCCTATTCTAATTATTCTGTGATTAAGTAACTTTTTTTTTGTTTTGTTTTGGGGACACACCTGGCAATGCTCAGGAGTTTTTCCCTGGCTCTGCACACAAGAATTACTCCTAGCAGTGATCTGGGGACTATATGGGCTTCCAAGCCCATATAGGCACATGCAAGGCAGATAATACCTGCTGTATTATCTTTGCAGTCCCACTAAATGACTTGAGAAATGGGAAGGATCATTTTTATTACATGAAGGAACAATATATATGTATGATATCCTTTATAAGTAAAATTGACTTCAGGGAAATTATCATTATATTTGGTCACTAGTAATTTTATTTGCCCTAGGCTTTTCCTAAAATTACATTTTGCAGAAATTTTTCTAGTCCTTATGCTTTATTTATTTCCTTTTTGGGTCACACCCAGTGATGCTCAGGAATTACTCCTGGCGGTGCTTGGGGGACCATATGGGATGCCGGGGATCAAACCCAGGTCAGCCGCGTGCAAGGCAAACACCTTACCCGCTGTGTATCACTCCGGCCCCTAGTCCTTATGCTTTAAACTAATATTTTACATTCCATTCTTAGGGTAGAATCAGGGAAAGCTGGCTGTTTCTCTCCTAAAATCAGCCGTAAAGAAAAGGTTCGAAGATCTCTTCGTCTGAAATTTAGTCTGGGGAGAAGTAGCAAAGATGTTGTAAGTATCTTTATTATTCCTTGGTATTCATAATATCATAATCAAGCCGGAACCCCTGGGCTTCTGGCCGTGTTCTTTTCCCCAGCTACTGTTCCACTCTACTCTATTCCACACTTTTTTTAATTTTTAATTTTATTTTCATAAGGTTGTTCACATTAATTGATTACATTCAATATTTCAACACCAGTCTCACCACGGTTGCACCTTCCCACCACCATTATTTTGAATTTTCCCGCCACCATTCAAGCCTGTCTGCCATAAGCAGATGCTAGATAATTTATTTTCTGTGCTTATTGTGAGTACCATGAGAAGTTGCACGGCCACAAATGTGGCTGCGCACTCCTGGAATTCTCTAAAATTGTAGATGATTAGGGTCCCAAGACATCTCTGTAGGGAGCTGATCTATTTTGAGATTCATTTGTGAGTCTCTGTATTCCAGACTTTTAAATTAGGATCTCCAGGCTCTCCTTTTGCAGTCTGGTTAAATCGATTCCAGTCAAGCTTTAATCTCTTAACATTTATATCAACTGTTCTCATCAGTCACCCCATAAATTGAATGTTGTGCAAACCAGTGGATGCATTCTCTTTTTGGTTGATTTGACATTCCATCAGCATTTGACCTGGATGATCACTTTACTCCTCTTTGGCATACTTTTCTTTCCTTTGTTTAAGGATACTATTAATCTTATTTTTTTCCCCGCTTCTATGTGTTATTTTTTAAATTCCTTTGCATTTAAACACCCACAGCTTTATCTTTAGAATTTTTTTTCCCACTCAAGGTGATTATCAGGTTTCAACATTATACATTTAAGTCTTCCAAGCTTATATCTCCAGCCCAGAATGTCTCCTATATAATGTTTCTTAACATCTACTACTTGATGTCCACTTCTTGATGTTGACAAGTAGTCATCTTGGTTGTAGCCTGTAGGATATGCATTTCTTCACCAGTGCTCTTTCTCCACTCTTCCACCTCTCACAACCATAGTTCTACCTGCAGTTTTCACTATATCAGTATGGTAACTCATTCTTTTATATATATATATATAGGAGTACTGCTATTTTGGTAACTCATTCTTCCAATCACTTAGTCCCAAAACCATATATGGATTTAGTTCCTTAGTTCCTTATTCTGTAGATCCTCACTTTCTCTCCCATGCCCTTTCCAAACTATTAGACAATCCTAACTTAAGGCTGATCAGATCTCATCAACACTACATTTGCAACCAAAACTTTTGTTTTCTTTTCTGTGCAGAATGAGTGTTCTGGTATGAATAGACGTGAAAATGTTGGACGACGACTTGCAAATCAACAAAGTTTAAAAAATGGAATCGAATCTATAAAGACAGGTCTACTTTTTAGCCCAGATATTGATGAAAGATTAACAAAGAAAGGTATATTTGCATGATAATGTAAGAGCTTTAACCCAAAAGCCTACTTAGTTGCTTTTTGATAGTAAAACATAATTCTTGAAATTAAAAATTGATGTTTGAATGGTGAAAATATTTGCATTGCAGTATATAAGTAGAGGATACTTAGAAATGGAAGTTTTAGAAATATTTGATATTTTATACTAAAATGATTTAGTATAAATATTTAATTGCAGTGAAATCATTCTATCATTTGCCATGTGTTTGGGTAATGTTTCAAAACTAAGTCAAATATAAATTATTAAAAACATTGAACTGATTTATTTTAGGTTCTAAAAAGATCAGTAAGTCTGAGGAAAACTTACTGACCCCAGAGCGACTAGATGAAACAAATTACCGGATGTCTTGGACAGGACCTAGCAATTCACATTTTCAAGAAATAGTTGCAAATGATGCATCTCCAGTAGAGAGAAATCTTGAGGTCGAAAACTCTTCTTTGGAGCCTGATATAATGGTTGAAAAGTCACCTGTTAGTTCATATGAACTCACCCCTTCTGATATACACAGTACGCATAGTAACAATGTCACCGGAAGCTCTCTTAGTGGAGATGAAAACAATCTGACAACAGAAACTTTGGCAAAAATTCAGAAAGCATTTTCTGAATCTGGAAGTAATCTTCATTCATTGATGAATCCTGGGCAGTCACCAGTTACTAGTGTTGGGGAAGTAAAGTTAAGTGAAGCATCTTCTGTAGAATATAGCCCAGAGAAAAATCTGTTTGAAACTAATGATTTGACTGTTATAGAATCAAATGAACACCGGAATAGTAAGGATGAAAGCAGTTTTTCACCACATCAGACTCAAAAGTTGTTTGAAGAAGCAACTATCAAATGTCACTCTGTTCAGATGAATATAGAACTTGATAAAAGCATTCATTCAAAGATACCTAATGATCATTTTAGTGAACAAGAATTTCTTAGTGATGAAAATATAAAGGAACAGCAGTCTCCAAAGTGTAAACTAAATACCGAAAAAAAGGAGGATGAGGATGTGATTGGAGAGAATTTACTGAATTGTGTAACTTCTAAGGAGGATGAGGAGGACGCAGCTAACACCCCTTCCGCTGAGCAGACTTGTACTGTGACAAACTTGCCCAAACCTAGGCCAGTGAGAATTAGTACACAGTCACTGGAGGAATTAGGTGATAAAATGGTTCCCGAAAGTTTATATATGACAGAGCATGGAAGGGTTTCAGACCACATCCAGTGGTTTAACAAACTTTCCTTAAATGAGCCAAATAGGACAAAAGTTAAATCACCTCTTAAATTTCAACGTACACCTGTTCGTCAGTCTGTCAGAAGAATTAATTCTTTATTGGAATACAACAGGCAACCAGTAAGACGCAAATTGTCAGCTCAAGGTGATGCCACATCTCCTTTGGTCAAAGCAGTGAGCTGTGAAAGTGCTCTTTCTTCCTGTATAGAAGGTACATCGAAAGATTCTGTTTTGCGCGGCAAATTAAGTCTTAAAAAACAGAAGTCCACATCATGTGAACAGTCAAATGTTGATGAAGTTTCAAAATTACGCGTGGAGTTAACTTCTAAATCTTTGTCAAAGATAAAGAGGCACCCAGACTCTGTGACTTCTCTTGGGTCTTCCAGAGTTTGTAAACAGGAAGTCATAGCTGATAGTCAAATTAAGGTTCCCTTGGATGATCTGACAAATCAAAATATCTTGAAATCCATTGTAAATAATAATAGGGGCTTTTCTCCTGGGATAAATAATCAGGTCCTTCGGAAGCCTTCAGAAAGAGAAAGGATATGGTATAAAGGTTCTCCCAAAAATCCTATTGGAAAAACTCAGCTACTACCGACAAGTAAACCAGTAGACTTGTAATTAGTAGATGGTTTTTAACTGGTTGATGTAAATAAAGTTGGCAATTCATGGTGTGACTTTCAGGATAATCTGCATGTTAGTTGTAGTTTAGGATTATGTAATGAATTTAAATTTTGCTGTATAAGCAATTTAAATGTTTGTACAAATGGCTTCTTTTCCCCCATAATGATAGCAGTATTTAAAGTAATTGTAATCTTCAAGCAGAGGTTATACTTTGTAAAACAACTGGATTTGTTAGAAATTGTGGGATACTATGAGTTTTATTAAGTATGGAAGGAAGAGTGAAATGAGTTGTACCTATTTCCTATTTTTCTGTCATAGAAATTTTGGTTATGAAAAGGGAAGAGACAGGAAAATTACTTTTTCCTGTGTGTGTTTGTACATGCTGGGGACCAAACTGAGGACCTCATATGCACATGGCATACCCTCAATCACTGAGATACATATTGACTAAATCTTAGTTCTTGGATTATGTTAATATTTGTTATCTTTAACAAAATCCCTAAATATTAATTGATATCAGTATACCACCTTAAATCTTTGTATTTGGGGACAGAGTCAATAGGTTTATATTACCTGTAGGTGTATACAGAATGTTTACTTGAACTAAGAAAAATGCCAAGGCAGAATGACTCATAGGATAATATGGGCTCATATAGGATAACACTGCAGAAGTAATTGATGATTTTTAAGCCATACTGTTGTTTAAGTTAATTTGCACAAATGCATTTGTATCCATTTATCCAGTATAATATTCAAAACATTTTTAAGGAAATTTAACTTGGGTAATTTTAATTTTGATGATTTTTTTTAATATGCAGATGCTTGGTCTTGGTTTTAAAAATAGTTGATGTACCTCTGCATTCAACTGAGATTCTTAAACTTTGGAATTTATGAAAGCTTGTGACCATTTTGTCTTGTATGTAAATTATTTATTTGGCATAGACATTAAAAATAACATTTTGGAAAATTACTTTCCTGAGTCTTTAATGAAATCAAAATTTTCTTTTGAATTTGACCCCAATAGTCAAAGAAATCTAAATTTATAGTTTAAAATAATAGAAATTATTGTTTTGTTTTTTCTTTCCTTCCCTCCTTTGCTGCTTTTGATATGATCAGGGATTCACATTTGCTTGTGCTCCCCAGGGTCACACATCTGGTTGTGCTCACCAGTACGTGCCAGGGCTTGTACCATGGCTCAAACTCCTGCCAAGAGTTGGGATGCTCTAGAGATTATACCCTCTTTTGTGGGTCTATGGATCCTAGACATCAGAGTTGCCAGGATCATGCTTATGCATGCAGGAAGCACTAGGCATCAAACTCACAGCCTCATTCTTGTAAGGCAGGTACTTTGCCACTGAGCTACCTCTGGAACCTCAGAAAAGATTTTTACAGAAAGAATATCAACATAGAACTAGCAGAGGGATTGGCATAGCTCTGCCACTGTAAAATAATGACTTAATATTTGATATTAATATTACTGTAAACATATATATTTTTTAAATAGAGGGTATTGTCAAGGTCTCAGAAGAAAAAAATGTGCAGGCAGAATCATCATGAAATATTTTGCAGACCTGTTTGAATGTCACATTCAGCTGACAGATAAGGGAAAAACATGTTCGGGGCTAGAGAGATAGCTCATAAGACTGAGTACGTGCTTTGCATGCAGAAAACCCAGGTTTGATACCCAGCTCTGCATGGCCCCCAAAAGCAGCTGTCCCCCACAAAAGTCATTCAGATGTTGAAGCAGAATAGAATAGCATGGCACACCTCTAAACCAGATTTGCAGTGTGTGTTTGTATGAGTTTTCAGTCATCAAATGTTTGCTTTACTACATTCCTCAGAGCAGTACATTTTTCAGTTTCTGTTTCATTCAATACAAGCTCATTACCTCGGAACTAGTATTTCACGTAAGGCTGTAGAAGTCTGTGGGGGTGGAGAGAGTGCAGGGTTAAGGTACTTGCATACAACTGGCCCCAGTTTGATACCTGGTACCACCAAGCACCACCAAAGCCAGAAATCACCCCCATATGCCACCCAGTGTGGTTCTAATCATGCCTCCCTCCCCAATATCTGGAAACAGGTTTATCTGAAACAAGAAACTTATAGTAAAGATATGCATTTTATATTTATGGCCTGGCAAGCTACCCGTGACCTACTCAATATGCCAAACACAGTAACACCAAGTCTCATGATGGAGACGTTACTGGGCCCGCCCAAGCAAATCGATAAACAATGGGAGGACTGACCGTGACATCTAATAACAAGATATTTATGAATTGATTTGGTTCAAAACAACTTTTCTTTTAGAGAAAGTTTTTTTTAATCACCATGAGATACAGTTATAAAGTTGTTCATGATTGAGTTTCAGTCTTAGAATGTTCCAACACCCTTCCCATTCCTTCATTGTGTATTTCCTACTACCAATGTCCCCAGTTTCCTCCCCACCCCACCCCCGCAATGTGTTCTAGACTTTTTTATACTGTGTGATATTGAATTGGAAGTCTTAACTCACTAAGGTGTAGATTGAATGTCCAAATACTGGCTTTTCTACGATGACTCAATGAGCCACTGAAAAAAAAAAAAACCCATGTGTCACATCCATTGTTTTGTTAGCTGAAGGCCTAATCAGGATTATGAAAGTGAGGAATTCAAGCATGAAGGTATAATTAGAAAAAGTCAGAAGATTAACTTTTAGGCTTTGTTAATTCATTGTACAAAATGGAGATGTTTCTAATCAAAATAATACTCAATACATATAACCCCTGAACATATGTAATAACTTCAAAGATTTTCATGTTGTTAGAAAAATAAAGATTAATATAAAGAACTGATTACATAGAAATTAAGATTTTATTAAGATTTTAAGATTTATCACTAAGATTTTATTATGATCTTGATTGATATCAAGCCCAAAGCACGTGTCTTTAAATGAAGCACACTAACTGGTGTATTTCAAATTTCTTTCCACCAAGCAATAAATTGTAATGGTGCCATATTTCTGAGCAAAAAAGTAAAAACAATGGGCATGTATGTGAAAGTAAGATTTAGAATGGGGATGGGGAACTATCAGTATATGAATAACATATTAAGTCCCAGCATTGTCTTGCATTTTAGAACAAAAAAGTAAACTTTTTTTTTTTTTTTTGCTTTTTGGGTCACACCCGGCGATGCTCAGGGGTTACTCCTGGCTCATGCACTCAGGAATTGCTCCTGGTGGTGCTCAAGGGACCATATGGGATGCTGGGAATCGAACCTGTGTGGGTCATGTTGGCTGCATGCAAGGCAAACGCCCTACCCGCTGTGCTATCTCTCCAGCGCCAAAAAAGTAAACTTTCAAAAAAAAATTTTTTTTATTGGTGAATCATCGTGAGGTACAGTTACAGACTTACAAACTTTATTTTTTAAAAATTTTTATTAATGAAACACCATGAGGTACAGTTGTAGACTTATTTTTGTGCTTGGATTTCAGTTATACAATGATCAAGTACCCATCCATCCACCAGTGCCCATTTTCCACCACCACAGGTCCCAGTATCCCCACCCTGCCTCTGTGGCAGGGTATTCCCTTCTGTTCTCTCTCTCTCCTTTTGGGTACTTATAAACTTTAGTGGTTGTGTTTCAATCATACAGTGCTCGAGTACCCATCCCTCCACCAGTGCCCATTCACCACCCATGATCCCAGTATCCCTCCCATCCCCCCACCTTCCCCCCCCCCTTTGCCCCACCCCATCTCTGTGGCAGGGCATACCCAAAAAGAGAGTGTTAATTAATCTTAAATAGTCACCATCTATTTTCCTGCTTCGGTCAAGTTCTCCAGGATGCACCCTTAGGATTACCCTATCCCTGCCATCATTAGGAGTTAGAGGGCCCAGAGAGAACCCAAAGGGACTGAGTCCGTGCTTTCCATGCGGGAGACCTGGGTTCAAATCTCACCCCCCACTCCCGGCCTTGCCTTCCTCAAGCAAAGCCAGGGAACAGCCTGGCTCAGGAGAACTAGGAGCATATCCCCAAGTAACGGCAGGATACCCTACAACCAAATACAGTCGTGCTGTTCCCAGATCCTCATCTCGAGCCCTGAACCAAAAGATGTGCAACTGGGGGGCTGGAGCGATACTACGTTTGCGTTTGCGCCGATCACGGTTAGATTCCCAGCATCCCATATGGTCCCCCGAGCACCGCCAGGAGTGATTCCTGAGTGCAGAGCCAGGAGTAACCCCTGAGCATCGCTGGGTGAGACCCAAAAAGCAAAGAAAAAAAAAAAGATGTGCAACTGGGGGTGAACAGTGCCGCTCCTGGAACATCATTGTTTAAGAAACGGCCAGGCGCTTGCACGGGGGTGTAGAGGAGCAGAGGGTCTCCCGGGGTGCTGTTGTAGGGAAACGTGAACCGTGGGTTAAAGGCGGCCGAGTTGGGGGCAGGAGACGCCAGCGTGCGGTCCCTGAGTCCCGGGGACGCGGCGTCCACCTGCCAAGGGCGGCGCCGGGGCGGGGCTGAGATGCGGCGGGAGGTGACGCACGAGCCACACTGATCCCCGGCTCCCGCCCGGCGCCCAGCCAGGCCCCGACCCTGCAGGCAGGCGCCCGCCGCCCCTCGGTGAGTCCCCCGCGGGGGCCGCCCCACCCCGGGCGCCCACCCGAGACAGGCGAGGTCTTTCGGGCCGGGAGTGGAGCCGGCGCCTTGCCGGAGGCCGGGACAAAGGATGGGAGGAGGGTCGGCGTGTTGGGCTGATGGAACCCCAGGGACGAGGAGGTTCGCGCATCGCAACGATGCGAGTGGGTCTGGTCGCGGGGGGTCACCGGAGCCCAACGACGTGTGCGTTTCGAGCCGACCGGGAAAGATGGAGCCGGCTAGAGAGGCCGTTCTCTGCCGCTCCCATCAGCATCACAGCTAGACTGGTTCTTGGGGGAGCAAGGTTCTTTAGCCAAAGGGAGCTAAAAAAAGTCCCCTTCAAAAATAAGATGATGATCATCATTATCATCACCATCGTCATGATGATCATCATAAGGAGATATGGATATTTATTTCTGTTCTCGTTGAGAAATTGCACCCCCGCCCTTTCCATAAAAGACTGGGAAGGAGGGTTTCCTGGAAGCCTGCATCCTAGGTGGCAAAGCAGCCGCAGGGAAACAGGAATATTTGTTCCCTCGGTCTGCAGGCTTCTGTTGCCATAGCAACCAGCATTTAGGACAAGCCCCTGATGGTTTGCTCCTAACCTTCACTCGTTCTGTCTTCCTGCTCATGCTATTGTGCAAAATTTAACCTCCAGAACTGGACGTCATTATTGTCTATATCAGTGATTGCCACTCATGCGCAGGGGTCTTCATGGCGACTTTGCCCTCTGACATGTCTTACCTGTGTCCCCACACAAGTCTCCAAGGCATCCGCTTTCCATATTTCTTTCTTTCTTTTTTTGGAGAACAGGTGGAGACATTTTCTCAAGTCCCCTAGCTCGTATGTTATGGATCAGACAACCCCTACCTCCCCTCATCTTTCCTAATAGACTGAAGGGCAGGCCAGGGCTGAGTTAGGGATTAGAGCTTCTGTGTCAGCTATTGGCAAAAAAAAAAAAACTACTCCTTTTTGCTCCTCCAATCTTTCCTTAATTCTTTTGGCTGGTAGGGGGCTTAGGCCACACCCCCCTGTGCTCAGGCCACACCCAGATGTGCTCAGCGCTTACTTCTGGCTCTGTATTCAGAGATCACTTCTCGTGGTGCTGGGGGGAACCATATATAGTTCCAGAGTCTGAACCTGGGAGGGCCACATGCAAGACAAGCAACCTAACCCTTGCCCCATCTCTCAGGCCCTCCTTGCTTCATTATATTTGTGTTTGCCTCACTCCTTCAGGGGAATCTTTTCTTCCTCAAGTCTGGGGAGAGTGCTGGTGCCAATCTCCCTTTCTCAAATTTGTTGTCCTTGTTCATTTACTCTGGGCTGGAGCAATAGCACAGTGGTAGAGCGTTTGCCTTGCATGCAGTCATCCCGGCCGAGCTGGGTTCGATTCCTCCGCACTTCTCGGAGAGCTTAGCAAGCTACTGAGTATCTCCTCCGACCCCTGACATATTCAATATGTCAAACACAGTAACAACAAGTTTCACGATGGAGACGTTACTGGGCCCGCTTGAGCAAATAGATGAACGACTGCAATGCAGTGCAGTGCAGTTCATTTACTCCAAAAGGGCAAGGCAATGGGGTTGGGGATAATGCAGAACTTTCAGAGTCAGATAAAAAGCAGTACAAATTCCCCCTTTTTTTGGCAGTGCCCAGGGGTTAACCCTGGCTCTGCACTCAGAAATGAATCCTGGTAATGCTCAAGGGACCATATCCTAGTGGGATGCTGGGAATTGAGCGTGGGCTGACTGTGTGCAAGGCAAGCTCCCTACCCACTGTACTATGTCACCAGCCTCTATTTCTTTTGTTTCTTACACACCTTCCCTTTTATTTCTTGCACACTTTCCCATAACTGGACTGTAGCACTGCACTGCACTGTCCCCCCATTGCTCATCAATTTGCTCGAGCAGGCACCAGTAACATCCCAAAACAAATTGTGAGACTTGTTGTTACTGTTTTTGGCATATTGAATATGTCATGGAAGCTTGTCAGGCTTTGCCATGTGGGCGAGATACTCTTGGTAGCTTTCCAGGCTCTCCGAGAGGGGTGGAGGAATCAAACCTGGGTTGGCTGGATGCAAGGCAAATGCCTTACCCACTGTGCTATTGCTCCAGCCCCCATAACTGGACACCTAATGCAAATTCAAAGAAAACAGATACTTGTAGGGATGGTTCATTGCAGTCCCTTTCTGGAGGGGCCTTTGAAATCACCTCCTAGAGTGGTTGCGTGTTTACCTCATCACAATTATCAAATGTGGCCCATCACTGTTCGATCTCTTTTCTGCAGGTTAAAAATGGTCTCCAGGATGATCTCTGTCACACTTGCTGGCCTATTGTTCTGGCTGGCATTTGGCTCCCTGCCAGCATCTGCATATAGCCCTCGCACCCCTGACCGGGTCTCAGAAACAGACATCCAGAGGCTGCTTCATGGCGTCATGGAGCAGCTGGGCATTGCCAGGCCTCGGGTGGAGTATCCAGCCCACCAAGCCCTGAACGTTGTGGGCCCACAGAACATCGAAGGTACCTGCTGTGTTCTGCCACTGTGAAATTTTTCTATTTGCTTTTAAAATCATTAACACTCCACTTCTTCCCTTGACTTCCCCTTTCTCCTCATCCTACAGTGTCTGTAAGCTATCCAGAGGAGAATGGAAGGTATTTCAAGACCTCTCGTCTCTCCTATTGACAGGGGTTCCATAGTCTTGTTCTTGTCTATTGTGTGAGGGAAGGAGTATCTGGTGTTAGTTATCACCACTGAAAAATTAGGGCCCGGACCCCGTGTCTTCCCTTTCAGGCATTGTTCCCCAGCAGACTGCCTCTTTAAGTCACTGCCCACTATTTTTGAAAAAATTCTTCAAAAGTCGACCCAACAGCATCTGCTTTGATTCTTAGAGATGATACTATCTATGGCCAAGAGGAGGTACCAACAGGAAGAGTTTAAGAGTTTCGTATTTCAAAAAACGAAAGAATGTTAAATTGTTCAATTGTGGCCTGATCATTTCCCTTGATTTTTCCCTAAGTTTTTTACTATGGACTATAATGTTTTTCTAAAAAAAACAATACTTGGATAGACGTTTGAGATTCAGCCAATCAATGATCGAACACCGATCCTACACCAGTGCACTTTTTCCACCACCAATATCCCCAGTACCTCCCCCCACCACCACCACCACCATCCCAGTCTTCACCCTGCCTCTATGGCAGACAATTTCCCCAATACTTTGCCTGAATTTTCCCACACCACTCAAGCCTGCCTGCCAGGGGCAGGTGCTAGATAATTTATATTACACTGGGCTGGAGCGATAGCACAGCGGTAGGGTGTTTGCCTTACAAGCGGTCAACATGGCCGACCTGAGTTCGATTCCTCCGCCCCTCTCGGAGAGCCCGGCAAGCTACCGAGAGTATCTTGCCCGCAGCTACCTCTGACATATTTGATATGCCAAACACAGTAACAACAAGTCTCATGATGGAGACGTTACTGGGCCCTCTCGAGCAAATCGATGAACAATGGGAGGACTGTGACCATTTTGAATATCATGAGAGTTCCCAGAGCTGCAAAGTGGCCGCACTTCTGGGATCCTAGATTGTAGATGGTTGGGTTCCAGAGACATCTCTTTAGGTCACTAATCCATTTTGGGATTCAGTTGGGAGTCTCTGGACCAGGACTGTTGGTGCACCAAGATGGTACCCGGTGGTAGCTAAGGGTGTGACAGCCAGGCTGAGGAGTGCTCGGAGAGCCCGGGTGGGACTGAGTGGTGCCTCCGCCTACATGCAGCGTGGAGATTTAGTACTGGTAACTGCATACCTGGGCCTTTCTTGTGGAAGCTCTTGGAGCCAGGATTCCCTCAGGAGTAGGCCGGGAGACTGTACCTGCTCCATCTGGGGTGCCCCGGTGAAATTGACTTGGTATGGGGCCCGAGGGATCCCTGGTGCTGTGGTGCCATCCGGGACTGGTTCCTATGTCTCTGGACCAGGGCTGTTGGTGCCTATTTAATGATTTTTATAGGCAAAAATTGAAATTGAAATCATGAGTGATGAGCCACCACTTATGATCAGCTACCTTGTTCCCAAGCCCTGTTCTATATCCTTGCCAATCCTAAATAACCCTGGATCAATGAGCTTATGCTGCAACATGTTTAGTTTAGTTTGAAACCCAAGAGCTCACTTCAGATGGCTGCCCGTGTGAGTGTGTTCTAAGGAAAAATGTGCATTCTTTCTCTGGCCGTAACCGAAGCACACTGCCAGCAAATATCAGTCCCTGTGGATTGCTTATGTGAGCTTCCGCTTGATTTTATGCTTTCCTAAAAAATATCACATGCTCTTGAATCTTATGAAAGTTGTGAATGATACTGACTTATGATTTGGTATATTCATTTCATTTCATTTCATCATCCTGTTATTCGTCGATTGCCTCGAGCAGGCCCCAGTAACGTCTCTTTCATCCTAGCCCTGAGATTATATTCAAGGCTATTTAGGAGAATGAGACCCATCATTGTTACTGGTATTTGGCATATTTGGTACGCCACGGGGAGTTTGCCAGACTCTGCCCTGTGGGCAGGCTACATTCGATAGCCTGCAAGTTTGTCCAAAGTAGGAATAAGACAATAAGATGTCATAAAAAAAAATCTGATTCCGGGATCTGGATTTTATAGTCTCTGAGTCTTGGCCGCTGATGGGATTACACGGTGCCAGGGGGCCAGGTGGTGGGTGTGACCCCCGCCTACTGGAATTTGGAGGATCTGGGTGGAAGATGCTCGACTCCAATTCGAGTAGGCTTGGAGGTCTCGGCCCCGGAACCCGCGTGGCTTTGTCCCTCTGCCAGTACCTTCATGTGTGCGGAGAGTGGTCTCAGCATGGTGGTGGCTGGTCCTGGAGGTCTTCGGCTGCTGGAGCCCTGGTCGGGGCGGGGAGGAAAGCTCAACCCGCTTCCCTCCAAGGGGCTCCGGGAAGGAACACCCAGGCGCGGGGGCGGAAGACTGGTATATTATTTCTTTTTTATTACCATAATTTTAAGTCATTGTGTAAAAGTAACTCTTGGGATTATCATCTATTTAAAACTGATTTTACGAATTGATTTGTGCCTATGATTAGAATCAGCAAGTTTGCAAATCTAGCATAGAACTAGAATATGGACAAATCAGGTGGGTCTTCCTGCCAACCTTTTGGGGAGCCTTTAAATCATTCCTGTCATTTGCCATCTGTTCTTTCCGGCTTACCTGTTCTGTTTTGGACCCGCTCTTTTGAGATAACAAATATCTGCCCTTTTAACTCAGTAAGTGCTTGCTTAGTCACCCGGATGTTGTTATGGAAAAGGCTTTCCAAGTTTCCATTAATACCCACAGCTTGATCATCAGTGTGGAAAAGAAACAGCAGCTTCCTGGACACCAAAAGCCTATGTTTATCAACCACCTTCTTTTTATTACTGAGTATTGACCTATTTAGTCAGCAATGTTATAAGCCAGGCATGATGCAGAAGGCAGCTCTGCTTATTAAGATTCCTAGTCTGGGGTGGGCGAAGAGTGGAGAGGTTGTTGCAGAGTCTCTTAGCAACCGTTTTGGTAGATGGACGCATATTCTGACCACAATAATTAATTTACTTTGCTTGGGAGTAGATAGGAATAGCTGTTCGATATGGATCTTTGCAGAAGCAACATTTGACCAGGGGGGTTGAGGTTGGAGCAGAAATTTATCAGAAAATAGCTAGTAAAAGAGCACGGAGGTCTGAAAGAGCTTGATTGAAGATGTTCAGATCCAAGAACTGTTTCTGCTAGCCCCTTGAGGTTATGTGAGGGCACTGCCACATGCCATCTCCTCTTTTAGGGGGTGGTGGAGGGGGGAGCGCAGGGACACACCAGGCAGTGCTCAGGGCTTCTGGCTCTGCCCTCAGTGCTCACTTGTGGGTGACTCAGGGACCATATGTGTTGCTGGGGATAGAACTCAGGTGGTGGCCATGTGCAAGCATTCACCCTCTGATTTATTTAGACCCCTGATGTGAATTTTAACCCACAATTAACCTAAGACTTCCCAAGGACACCTGATTAGATGCTAGCTCCATCAGCTATTAGTGATGTGACCTTGATCAAATTGCTTGAGCTTCTGTTTACCTTGCTGGGAGGATTTGAATTTATCCACCTACAAACAGGTAGCCTCTCTGTTCAGAGAAACAAAAGTAAAGCTTTAGTATACACGACTGCTCTAAGTGAAATCATTTCTAAGTGTTTTCTAAATAGGCCATCACTCCAGATGACAATGAAATTGCCTAGACATAAATCGAAGATAATTGTCTTGTGTTTATCTGATTCTTAGGTCTCATTTATGATTTTACTAATAGAATTATTGAAGATGTATATTAACTCTCAAACAGTGGAGAAGAGAGCAACTGAAATTTGCACAACAAGAGCCTGAGAGATGGCTGAATGCAGCAGGCATGTTTTTTTTTTTTTAATTTTTAAAAAAATTTTTGGGTCACACCCGTTGATGCTCAGGGGTCACTCCTGGCTTTGCACTTAGGAATTACTTCTGCTGGTGCTCGGGGGACCATATGGGATGCTGGGAATCGAAATCAGGTTGGCCATGTGCAAGGCAAATGCCCTACCCGCTCTGCTATCACTCCAGTCCTACAGCAGGCATGCTTTGCATGCAAAAGGCCTGGGTGTGCTTCCAGGAACCGCATGCTCCTCTGAGCATGACTTGGGAATGATCCTGAGCACAGAGCCAGGGATATGCCCCTAGCACCACTGGAATGTACCCCCACAATGAAACAAAACTAAAATCTGCACAATAGTCCTCTCATTGCTACTTTCTTGGTAGCTTCTTCTAACTGGCCTGCCCTCCCCAGACCTCAATATCCCTGTCTTTAGCTGAGGATTTATTTTAGGTGCACGACTTAGGCCAAATCATTATCATTCAGTTTTCCTGGCTGTCTCAGCTGCATAGAGATGTGCCAAAAATAGGTGTGTTGCAGGTTCTACCATCTAAGTCTGGGTAAATATATTTCCCTGCAGATGTTATGCCACTTAGGATTATTTTTTGCAAGGAAGTGGCGTGCAACCATTCATGCAAAGCTTTCCTTTTTTTTGTTACTTATTTCTTTATCGAATCATCATGAGATACACAGTTCCAAAGTTGTTCATAATTGTTTTAATCATATGATGTTCCAGCACTCTTCCCTTCACCAGTGTACATTTCCCACCACTAATGTCCCCAGTTTCCCTCCTGCACTAACCTTGTCTCTATGACAGGCACCTTCCTTTTTCTTTTCTCCTCTCTTTCTATCTCCCTCCTCTCCCTCTCCCTCTTTCTTTCCCTCTCCTTCTTCCTTTCTCTTTCCCCTCCTCCCTTCCTCCCCCCCCCTCTCCTTTTGGGCATTATGGTTTGCAATACAGGTACTGAGAGGTTATTATGTATATTCCTTTACCTACTAAAGCTTTCATTGAAAATTCCTTCAGTGTTACTTTTAAAAGGGCAAGACAAGTATGCAGTGGTGGTGATTATTCTGTGAAATACGGTTCTCTGACGTTTAC